CCTCACCTCTTTCACGTCACTTGTCCACCTCATAATTACAAGTTACAACCATCAGAGCCCATGGTTTTGTTTGTTTAAGTCTCTCGTCCACTACCCGTCCACCTTAGGTGGTATGTTAAAGTCTCTCTTTCTCTCTCTGTCTCTCCCTCTCTCTCTCTCTCTCTCTCTCCCACACCGTCTCATCCCTCATCTTCACAGATGCGCTTCTCTCTCTGCACCGTCTCCTCCCTCATCTTCACAGACGCGCTGCAGAAATTCGTCGTCGGCAGCACTCTCTCTTCCCTCATCTTCATAGAGACAAGCTAAACCTCGTCTTTCTCTTCCTTTCTCTAGGTGCAGCTAGGACAGTGAAACCCAGGAACTCTCCGGCGAGTTCTCTTGATCCTTCTCCGGTTAGGTAAGCCCTCAATTCATCTTGGATGTTGTGTGGTGTGGTTGAGAATCGAGATATACTAAGTTTTATCTGGTTTTTTTAACAAGGTTTTAGGAGGAGATCGACCTGGGGGAAGGCACACCCAGCTCCGGCGAGGCTGTGAGTGTCGACGAACTTTCCGACCACCTCTGACCGTTTCACGCAAACGAAAGTTATAAAAACATTCCTCTCGTCTTCTATTTCATTTTGATACCTAGATCGGAGTCTAGGGTGCTCTTTTACAGTCGGCCGGAGCTGTAAAAGCTCCGGCGTTCTTCTCCGATTTTCACAAATCCAAAATTTTGCGATATTATTGGTAATATCGCGATATTATCGGTAATATCGCGATATTTTGACGAAAACACCTTGGATACCTATTAAAATATCGGTAAAGCAAAAAACCGATAATATCGGCGAAATATCGCCGATATTATCGGCATTTAAGACATTGGTTGTGTTAATGACTTCCTACCTCAAGGTACTTAATTTACTATTATAATTATACTATTAAAATGCTTGTTCACTCAACTCTTTTTGCACTAATTGAATAATTTATCTATTTTATCATGTAACTTATCTACTTGTTCACTCAACTCTTTTTGCACTAATTGAATTTTCTGAACTTCTAATTTTATTTGCTCAACTATTTCTAGTGATCTAAGTTCTACTTGTTTAGATTTACTATCTATGAGGTCAATAAGCTCTTTTATCTCTCTTTTGCAAGGAAACCTTTGGATATTTTTATTATTATCTTCTAACTGAGATATAATATAATCTAAATTTTGTCTAATTGTTTTTATGGAATTTTTCTGAAAATGCTCTAACAACTGGTTTAACAAATAATTATGCTTATTATTTTCTAGTTTTATATTTTCTGCTTGACTAATAATAAGATCTATAATACTATTGACTCGTGGATCTTCTTCACTATACAAAATATGATTATGTTTTCTCAAAGGAAAATAACAAACTAAACTATTTGGGTCTAGAGTGATTTTTCTTTTTTGAGGTTCACTAATTTCTAAATTAAGATAATCTATCATAAACTACAGTCTACCTTTCTCTAAAGTTATGATTAACTAGTTTCTTAAAAACTCTCTTTCTTCTCACAAGGTCTCTAAAGTATGATATGTTATTCTTTTTGCTGCTAGTACGTTATGTCGCACTTTTTTGTTATTATATTTATTAATAGTGTTCAAGATAACCAGCATAAAACTTCTACTTCTTCAAAGTCTTGCTAATTCTTTTGGAAATATATGCTAATCTTCTCTTTATGCAAGTTGTAGTTGGATGTCTAGGATAATAAATACATGGTGGTTGTGGTTGACATGGTCTACAAAGACAATAATATCTATTGTTCATATAAAGTTAAACAAGTGTGTGATATCAGTTGTGTTAATGACTTCCTATCCCAAGGTACATAATTTACTATTATAATTATACTATTAAAATGCTTGTTCACTCAACTCTTTTTGCACTAATTGAATAATTTATCTATTTTATCATGTAACTTATCTACTTGTTCACTCAACTCTTTTTGCACTAATTGAATTTTTTTGAACTTCTAATTTTAATTGCTTAACTATTTCTAGTGATCTAAGTTCTACTTGCTTAGACTTACTATCTATGAGGTCAATAAGCTCTTTTATCTCTCTCTTGCAAGGAAACCTTTGGATATTTTGATTATTATCTTCTAACTTAGATGTAATAAAATCTAAATTTTGTCTAATTATTTTTATGGAATTTTTCTAAAAATGCTCTAACAACTTGTTTAACAAATAATTATGCTTATTATTTTCTAGTTTTATATTTTCTGCTTGACTAACAATAAGATCTATAATACTATTGGATTATGGATCTTCTTCACTATACAAAATATGATTATGCTTTCTCAAAGGAAAATAACAAACTAAACTATTTTGGTCTGGAGTGATTTTTCTTTTTTGAGGTTCACTAATTTCTAAATTAAGATAATCTATCATAAACTACAGTCTACCTTTCTCTAAAGTTATGATTAACTAGTTTCTTAAAAACTCTCTTTCTTCTCGCAAGGTCTTTAAAGTATGATATGTTACTCTTTTTGCTGCTAATACGTTATGCTGCACTTCTGTGTTATTATATTTATTAATAAATGTAGGGTGTTCAAGATAACCAGGATAAAACTTCTACTTCTTCAAAGTCTTGCTAATTCTTTTGGAAATATATGCTAATCTTCTCTTTATGCTAGTTGCAGTTGGATGTCTAGGATAATAAATACATGGTGGTTGTGGTTGACATGGTCTACAAAAACAATAATATCTATTGTTCATATAACGTTAAACAAGTATATGATATCAGTTGTGTTAATGACTTTCTACCTCAAGGTACTTAATTTACTATTAAAATTATACTATTAAAATGCTTGTTCACTCAACTCTTTTTGCACTAATTGAATAATTTATCTATTTTATCATCGAACTTATCTACTTGTTCACTCAACTCTTTTTGCACTAATTGAATTTTTTGAACTTTTAATTTTAATTGCTCAACTATTTCTAGTGATCTAAGTTCTACTTGCTTAAACTTACTATCTATGTGGTCAATAAACTCTTTTATCTCTCTTTTGCAAGGAAACCTTTGAATATTTTTATTATTATCTTCTAACTTAGATGTAATATAATCTAAATTTTGTCTAATTGTTTTTATGGAATTTTTCTGACAATGCTCTAACAACTGGTTTAACAAATAATTATGCTTATTATTTTCTAGGTTTATATTTTCTGCTTGACTAATACTAAGATCTATAATACTATTGGATTATGGATCTTCTTCACTATACAAAATACGATTATGCTTTCTCAAAGGAAAATAACAAACTAAACTATTTTAGTCTAGAGTGATTTTTCTTTTTTGAGGTTCACTGATTTCTAAATTAAGATAATCTATCATAAACTATAGTCTACCTTTCTCTAAAGTTATGATTAATTAGTTTCTTAAAAACTCTCTTTCTTCTCGCAAGGTCTTTAAAGTATGATATGTTACTCTTTTTGCTGCTAATACGTTATGCTGCACTTCTGTGTTATTATATTTATTAATAAATAAAGGGTGTTCAAGATAACCAGGATAAAACTTCTACTTCTTCAAAGTCTTGCTAATTCTTTTGGAAATATATGCTAATCTTCTCTTTATGCTAGTTGTAGTTGGATGTCTAGGATAATAAATACATGGTGGTTGTGGTTGACATGGTCTACAAAGACAATAATATCTATTGTTCATATAAAATTAAACAAGTGTGTGATATCAATTGTGTTAATGACTTCCTACCTCAAGGTACTTGATTTACTATTATAATTATACTATTAAAATGCTAAACTTGGCTCTGATACCAAATTCAGAAAGCAAAGGTCTGATTAAATAGTCAGATGACCATTATAACAAGTGGATATAAAACCTTGCACATGAAACTCGACATGTTTCAGCATAACGGCCACTCACAATGCTAAGGCCTTCAAAGTTAAACTCAGAGCTAAGAAGAACTCAGAGGTACCCTGGTTAATGTCCAGTTATTTGTATGGTAAGCATTCAACTATAACAGAGTGCTCGAACAAAGTATGATCGTCAGTTTAGCAGGTTAATAATATAACTACAATAGTGTTTCCCTATTTTGGACTAGAAGTCTATTTAAACAAACATACTAAAGAAAGAAAAAAAAAACTTACTTAAGACTTGGAGATTGCTTGAATCTGTACACTTGAACTTTTATTGATATATAAAATGTTTAAAAAGGATAGGAATGTTTCGGATGTTCTATGCTTGAGGTGAATTGGAGTCATGTGTATTAAGGTGTCCCTGCATGGGAGGAAAGACTCCCTTATATACAAATCAATTTCCTAAACGACAAAACAACTTTTCAAAAAGCAAACAACTATTTACCGCGTTTTTAAATAGTAACTTTGCACTGTTTTTGAAAACTGTCGGTGTTACTGTTTCTGAAAGTGGACCGAATTATTTGTCTTCTTTTGCTTTTGTTTTGAACGGCATGTGAACTTGCTGAATGCATATGGACTTCCGACATGCCTTGTTTCCTGGAGCCCATGCCCATACGTTATTATCTTTTGCATTCAGTTGTTGTATGAAGGTTTTCAAGGGCAACCTTGACATTTTTGAAATTATTTGTATTTATGATTAAATTAAAGTTGTCTAGAGTGTTTTGGATAGTTTTCCATTCAAGTTTAATCTTATTTATTTAAAAAATAATTGTTAAAACGAGAAGAGAGTCTCTCAAAACCCAATCAAATCTTTAATCAAAGTCCATAAAATCCTTTCAAATCTTTAATCAAAATCTATAAGAATATTTTAAAGTTGTAAGGATTCTACAATCCTTTCAAATATGTGACTTATTAAAAAAATCTTTTAAAATAATCTGAAATACACAATGACTACGCCCCTTTTAGTTGACAAAATACATATCTTTATTATATGTTAGGATTATAAAATCCTCCATGCTTATCTCGTTGTTCTATCTTCCATCGTAAACAAATCCACCCGTACTATATCACCACATTTTATAACCATCACCTTTCAACGTTGTGAGCTGCAATCAATTGAAATGACTCCGATTCGGCACATCTCCACCAGCACCATCCGACCAACGAATGACGACGACGATGAGTTAAATCACAGATCAATCGAGTTGGCTCCGTGGGATCTGCGCTTGATCCAAATTGATTACATTCATAAAGGGCTTCTCTTCAAGAAATCAGCAGAGACGGAAGAGAGCAACAGCTTGATAGACCACCTAAAATCCACTCTTGCCCGGACCTTGAATATTTTCTACCCGCTCGCTGGTCGGCTCGCCCTGACTAAAAATGTTAACGATAACACTGGTTCTTTCTTCATCGACTGTAATGGCGATGGAGCTGAGTTTGTCCATGCAGCTGCCGATGGTGTCAAAGTGGTGGATATCCTTGAATCTGTTTATCTTGCAGATGACATTGTCAACCACCTCTTTTCTATGATGGAGGCTTGGAACTACGAGGGTGTTACGAAACCATTGCTTGCAGTACAAGTCACTGAGCTTGTTGACGGAATCTTTATTGGTTGCAGTATAAATCATATGGTCGTTGATGGTACCTCTTTGTGGCATTTCTTCAATACGTGGTCTGAAATTTCTCGTGTTGAACCTTCTGGAAAAATTTCTCAACCTCGTCCTGTTTTCGCTCGTCAATTTCATGACGGCATGATTGATCTTCCAATTCAGCTACCCTTCTCCTACGTTCAAGAAATCATGACCAAGAAGCCTGTTGGACATGGATCGTCGTCTTTGAATTCTCCACAAAGGGTAGTATTTCATTTTCCTAAAGAGAAAGTGGCAGAGCTCAAGTCCAAGGCTAATGTTGAGATGGGCACCATGGACAATAACACGATCTCATCCCTTCAAGCACTCATGGCTCATCTTTGGCGAGCGGTAACGCGTGCCAGAAATCTGAACCCAGATCAAGAAGTTCGCTACCGGATTGTAGCGGGATTGCGGCAAAGAATGGAGCCACCATTGCCAAAAGAGTACCTCGGGAATGCGGTTCTAGGCGTTCTTGTGAAGTGCACAGCAGGGGAGCTAGCACAACATGGACTAGGGTGGGCAGCCTTCCGAATAAACGAAAAAATTGGTGCGCTGAAAGCTGAAGAAGTGAGGAAGTTCATGGAGGATTGGGTAAAAGCTCCTACATTTCTTCCAAATTCACAAATGGATCCAGAAACTCTTGATTTGTTCACAGGAAGCTCACCGCGGTTCAATGTGTATGGTAATGATTTTGGGTGGGGAAGGCCGATTGCTGTGCGAAGCAGAATTCAAGAAAGATGGGTTGGGAGCTTATCGGTGTTTCCTGGGGCTGAAGAAGGAAGTATTGATTTTGAAGCTTGTCTTTGGCCAGAGACTCTACGAGCTATGGCAGAAGATGCAGAATTCATGCAAGCTATACTCACATAACCTATGCTTTTAGTTTTGATTGTAAGCTTCAAAGTGTGTCAATTGTGCTTGGTAATTTTTAGAGTCCAAATAAACGAGCTGTTGCTTAAAACAACTCAACTTGAGAGTATAATGATTTCAATGTATCAAAATGATTTTATCCAAGGAGTGGAGAAAATGAGAGTGAAAATCACTATCCATTGTCACATGTTATACAATGGATGAATGATCAATTTTATACTTTGTTTTTCATTAACTGAAAGTGGTTTTTGTCATTTTGGTCCTTATTTAACCGAGATTTTCACGGAAGGACCAAGATGATTAACGGTGTACAAACTCAAGGACTACTTCTATCGATTTCAAATCTCAAGAACTACTTCTATCGATTTCAAATCTCAAGAACTAAAGTGAGGAATTATGCAAATCTCCATAACCATTTTGACTAAAAAAAACCTTATTTCGTGTATTCTAATAGGGGTGGATGTCAAATTTGATAGTTCTGAAAAATCCGTATTAGAGAGCTTACCCTTCAAATTGAATCTTTAATACTTTCTAAAGAAAATAGTATTTACACAAATTGAAGAAAAAATAAGAGTCATTTGGAGGTTGTAAAAGGACTTAATACTAAGAGTATTTTAGTGTGATAGAGGGTAAGCTCACCCTCTATCGCACTAAAATACAAGGAAAAAGAAGTGTTAAGTAATGATTATCTCGCATCGTCAATGGGATTTGAACACATAAAGTTATCCAGAAACAATTATCCTCAATAAAATTTCAAAGCATGAGCACATCCAACAACAACAACAACAACAAAGCCTTTTCCCACTAAGTGGGGTCGGCTATATGAATCCTAGAACGCCATTGCGCTCGGTATTGTGTCATGTCCTCCGTTAGATCTAAGTACTCTAAGTCTTTTCTTAGAGTCTCTTCCAAAGTTTTCCTAGGTCTTCCTCTACCCCTTCGGCCCTGAACCTCTGTCCAGTAGTGACATCTTCGAACCGGAGCGTCAGTAGGCCTTATTTGCACATGTCCAAATCACCGGAACCGATTTTCTCTCATCTTTCCTTCAATTTCGGCTACTCCTACTTTACCTCGGATATCCTCATTCCCAATCTTATCCTTTCTCGTGTGCCCACACATCCCACGAAGCATCCTCATCTCCGCCACACCCATTTTTTGTACGTGTTGATGCTTCACCGCCCAACATTCTGTACCATACAACATCGCTGGCCTTATTGCCGTCCTATAAAATTTTCCCTTGAGCTTCAGTGACCTATGACGGTCACACAACACGCCGGATGCACTCTTACACTTCATCCATCCAGCTTGTATTCTATGGTTGAGATCTCCATCTAATTCTCCGTTCTCTTGCACGATAGATCTTAGGTAGCGAAAACGGTCGCTTTTTGTGATCTTCGCTAGATTGCTCCGGTCATTAGTATGGATAAGTATATAAATGGATAGAGATAGGAAAGCGAACACAAGATGTACGTGGTTCACTCAGATTGGCTACGTCCACGGAATAGAGGAGTTCTCATTAATTGTGAAGGGTTTACACAAGCACATAGGTTCAAGCTCTCCTTTAGTGAGTACAAGTGAATGATTTAGTACAAATGACATTAGGAAATATTGTGGGAGAATGATCTCGTAATCGCGAAACTTCTAAGTATCAGAGTGTGGTATCGTCTTGACGTGCCTTATCTGTCTCATAGGTAGATGGGGCATCTTCTCTGGAAGTACTCTTCCTCCATCCAGGGGTGGTATCTTTAACTGGTGGAGATGCACAAGGTAATGTATCAATTTCACTTGAAGCTTACTTGTAGTTTCAGGCTTGGTCAAGCGCGATACAAACCATGTAGTAGGAGTCCCCCAAGTCGCCGAGCTAGGGGATCTGCTGAAAGAGGTGACAGACAAGGTAAGCAATCATAGCTCCGGCTGATTGTTCACAGTCTCCCTATCTTGCAGGCAGCATGAAGGATAAAGAGAAGAAAATGAGAAGAGATGATATGGGATACTTTTGCTTTTGAAGAAGTAACTTTCCACAGGCTTATTCTTGAACTGAGCTGGAGGGTTTTCTGGTTTCCTCCAGAGTATAAGGCCGACTGAAGAATTTGAGGGTCAAAACAAGTCCATCAAATCTAGAGTACGTTCTACCCTGCTGATATGGGATACTTTTGCTTTGACAGAGTAATGGATGTATCGGCATGTGTGCTGTTACGCTTGTCTCCACATGCTTCCTTGTATCCTTCTCCCTTGCCCTATATGTTCCTCAGGCAGATGCGGTATCTTCCCTGGAAGCATAAGATGTTGAAGATGAGTACTCGAGAGCAATGTCAGGTAAGTAATCAGGTAAGGGGTTCCAGGCAGTCAGTTCCTGGCTGGAAGCTTGATTCCAAGTACTGACTGATTGCTCTCTTTCTCCTTGTCTTGCAGGTAAGAACAAGGTCAAAGGAAAAGACAGGGAAAAGGCATGATATGGGATACTCTTGCTTTTAACCCTGATGATATGAGATATTCTTACTCTAGTATAGCTTGTTTGCAAAGGTATTATCGGGGGGAAAGAAAGCTGAATATTTCGAAAGGCTTCGTTGGGAGTGCCCTCTCAGATATGAGGAAGGGTTGAGCATTTTTGTAGGTCTGCCTGTCCGTTAGGGATGGAGGTCGACATATATAGGAGTCTCCTTAACAAGAAGTAGTAATGCTATTCCTTTACCCTACTTGGTCATAGCACGGTAGTGGGAGCTGTCAGCTTCACATGTTTTAACGCTGTCAGAGCACTTTGAAAAAGTGGTTTGTGGTATCTGGAAAGCTGATGTTACGTGTGAAGATTACAGACAGCTTTATCCAAGGAGATCCGGCTCTTGAAGTTGGGAAAGTGTTGCCTCTTCGGTTTTCGAACAAGTAATCCTATCGGGGATCTGGCTCTCGAGATTCGGAGAACGATGCCTCTTCGATTTTTGAGAAAGCAAGCAATCATGCTGGGGGTCTGGCTCTCGAGATTCGGAGAGCGGTGTCTCTTCGATTTTTGAGAAAGTAATCATGTTGGGAGTCTGGCTCTCGAGATTCGGAGGGCGGTGCCTTTTCGATTTTGGAGCAAGCAATCTTGTTGGGAGTGTTTTCTCGAATGTGAGTAAAGGTTGGGCATGTTTGCTAGTCTACCTTGCCACGAAGCACAGGGGTTGACACACAGGGACTTTCCAATTATCAAGCAATGGTACTGTTCCTTTACCCTCTTCGATTTTTGAGAAAGTAGTCATGTTGGGAGTCTAGCTCTCGAGATTCGGAGGACGGTGCCTCTTCGATTTTGGAGCAAGCAATCTTGTTGGGAGTGTTTTCTCGAATGTGATTAAAGGTTAGGCATGTTTGCTAGTCTACCTTGCCACGAAGCACAGAGGTTGACACACATGGACTTTCCAATTATCCAGCAGTGGTACTGTTCCTTTACCCTTGTGGGTAATAATATGGTAGCTAGACCTTCAAATTTTATGTGTCTAAACTTTGTTAGTGTTGTTTCTTTGCTATTCTTTTACCCTTCTTGGTCAGAGCGATGTAGGGTGAGCTGCAAGCTTCACGTGTTCAACTTTGGCAGAGAACTGTGGCAAAGTTATCTGTGGTACCCATGAGCTACTGTTGCGTGTGGGAAGTGGGTGATTGAATAGTAAGACTCATGTGCTTTCTACTTCACCAGAAGTCTTCGACCGAATGCCCATAATTTCCGCAAAGCTGAGTGTGCGTGTGACAGGTGCTGACAAGGCTGGAAAAGTAAGTGCCTCTTCGATTTCTGAGATCGGCCCTCGTGGTCTCTGAGCAGCCCAGCTTTTGAGAAAGCAAGCGCTTCTTCGATTTCTGAGATCGGCCTTCGTGGTCTTTGCGCAGCCCAGCTTTTGAGAAAGCAAACGCCTCTTCGATTTCTGAGATCGACCCTCGTGGTATCTGAGCAGCCTTGCTTTTGAGAAAGCAAACGCCTCTTCGATTTCTGAGCAGGCACCTCTTCGATTTCTGAAGCTCCGTCGAGTGCAGATTTTTATAGGGGCTGGCATTAAGTTCCAAAGCACACTTGAATCTCCACCAGTAGAAGCTCCATTCTTGCACTTCTAAGATCTTGATTTGTCCGACCTCTTCTCTCTTCAACACCTTTGAAAATGTCTGGCCCCTCCGACCGTCGTTTTGACTTGAACCTTGTTGAAGAGGCAGCGCTGCCTTCTCCTGACAACATATGGCGTCCATCATTCGTTTCCCCTACTGGTCCTCTTACCGTTGGGGATTCTGTGATGAAGAATGATATGACCGCTGCGGTGGTGGCCAGAAACCTTCTCACTCCCAAAGATAACAGACTACTTTCCAAACGATCTGATGAGTTAGCTGTTAAGGATTCTCTGACTCTCAGTGTTCAGTGTGCAGGTTCTGTGTCTAATATGGCCCAACGCCTATTTGCTCGAACCCGCCAAGTTGAATTATTAGCGGCTGAAGTGATGAGTCTCAAACAGGAGATTAGAGGGCTCCAGCATGAGAATAAACAGTTGCACCGGCTCGCACATGACTATGCTACAAACATGAAGAGGAAGCTTGACCAGATGAAGGAATCTGATGGTCAGGTTTTACTTGATCATCAGAGATTTGTGGGTTTATTCCAAAGGCATTTATTGCCTTCGTCTTCTGGGGCTGTACCGCGTAATGAAGCTCCAAATGATCAACCTCTGATGCCTCCTCCTTCTAGGGTTCTGTCCAGTACTGAGGCTCCGAATGATCCCCCTCCGGTGCCTTCTCTTTCTGGGGCTCTACCGACTGCTGAGACTTCTCCTAAGCAACCTTTGTGAAGGCTCCCTCTTGTTTGTTTATTTTGACTTATGTATATGTACATATTTGTAGCTTATCGGGGATATCAATAAATAAGCTTTCCTTCATTTCAACGTATTGTGTTAAATACACCAAAGCCTTCTTCGCTAAGTTCTTTGAATTTGCTTTTGTTGAAGCTTTGTGAGTGGAGCATGTAGGTTGAGGTAGTGTTCCCTTAATTTCCT